AGAAAGTACTTAAAGGTTCTTAGATCTCTAGTTTGAAAGTGTTGTTGTAAGAATTATTTCAACTCACTAATTCCATGTGCATCATGGCCAACGAGAACAATATCATCAACATACACATACATTACCAKAATGATTTTCCCATATGAAGATTCCCTGCTAAACACAGAATGATTAACACTGCATTTCAAGCCAAAATCTTGCACCACAATACTAAAATGATACACCTTCTCATGGTGACTACTTCAGCCCATAGATAGCCTTCTTCAATCGATACACCTTCCCTAACTCCCCCTGAGCAACATACCCAGGAGGTTTGCACCACACTACTAAAATGATACACCTTCCTGTGGTGACTGCTTCAGCCCATAGATAGCCTTTTTCAATTGATACACCTTCCCTAACTCCCCCTGAGCAACATACCCAGGAGGTTACTCTATATATACTTCCTCTTGAAGATCACCATGGAGGAAAGCATTTTTAACATCAAACTGAAATAGGGGCCAATCAAAGTGAATAGCTAAAAAGATGAGCACTCATACATTACTTATTTTATCCACAGGGGAGAGAAGGTTTCTGAATAGTCCACACCATAGGTTTGAGTATACCCCTTAGCAACAAGTTGATCTTTGAACTGCTCGATATTGCCATCTTGACGATGTTTAACTGTATAGACCCTTCGACAACCAGCGGCCTGCTTCCTAGGTGTTAAGGAAGTGAAATCCCAAGTATCATTGGATTGAAGAGCATGAAATTCTTGATCTATCACCTTCTTCAAGTTAGGAGATGAGAGGGCTTCTTGTAGAGAACACAATAGGGAAACAGAGGATAAAAGGGAAATGAACCGTTGATGTGAAGGAGATAAGTGAGCAAGGAGAAGTACCGAGAAAGGGGGTGATTTGTGCAACCATGCTTACCCTTACAAAGAGCAATAGAAAGATCAAGATTTGAGGGTGGTGGATCTGTCAACAAAAAAGACTCCGGTGGCGGGTCAAAAGCTAGAGTTGGATCAACTGCTAGTGACAATCCTAGTTGTCAATCACGTCTGGAGTACACTTTGTGAATAGATAGTCGAATAGGCTCCTCCACAGTAGGCAAGGGAATAAAGACATCACCAACATCAAAGGGAAGAGGAATAGAAGGAGAAGGTTCACGTCTAGAGAAATAAGGTAAACTCTCAAAGAAGGTAACATTTGGAGCAACAAAAGCTTTCCGTAGAATAGTATCATTAAACTTGTAACCGTTTTGAGTACGGGAGTAACCAAAGAAAACACATCCGATAGCTCTAGAGTCTATTTTATCAAGGCCTAGACTCAATTTGTGAACAAAACACACATAATCAAACACATAAGGAGGAAGAAAGAAAGGGGAAGTAAAAGGAAACAAGATAGAGAAAGGTGACTTACCATCTAGGACTAGAGGGCATACGGTTTATGAGAAAACAAGAGGTGAGTACTGCAGCGCTCCAATAGATTTTAGGGATTGACATTTGAATCAACAAGGTGTGAATTGTTTCAATCACATGACGATTTTTCCCATCAGTCACACCATTTTTTTGAGGAGTATGTGAATAAGAGGTCTGATGTATAAATACTGTGAGAGTCAAAATAAGACTGAAAACTATTATGAAAGTATTCTTTGGCATTATCAAAACGAAACACTTTAATGCATACACCAAACTAACTCCTTATCTCAACATGAAAAGATAGAAAAATAGAAAACAATATTGAACGATCCTTCATTAAGTAAATCTATGTCATTCTTGAATAGTCATCAATAAATGTTACAAAATATCTAAATCCATTATAAGATGACACACAACTAGGATCCCAAACATTTGAGTGGACTAAAGCAAAAGGACTCAGGACTCTCTTATCATCTCTAGGAACGAAAGACACTCTATGATGTTTGCTTAACTGACATGACTCACAATCTAACTAAGTTACWAACTCCAAAGTTGGGACTTGCTTTTTCAAAACACGCAAAGAATGATGACAAAGACGACAATGCCATTGGTGTGGTGTAAGAGAGGAATGAAGAGCCTTCTAAGGACCATGGTCATCTAGGTAGTATAGTCCTCCAACTTCACGACCACCACTAATCATCTTCCCCGTCTTGAAATCCTGAAAAACATAGTATGAAGGCTAAAAGCTTACTGAACAATGAAGGGTTCGAGTAAGCTTACTTACAAACAAGAAACTAAAGGGAAACATTGGAACATAAAAAATAGTGTAAACTAAGATCAAAAGCAAGAGACACATTACTGTACCAATAATAGTAGAAGAAGAGTCATCAACTAAAGTAACAATCCGGGATGTAGAAGGTGGTGACAAAGATGCAAACATATTTTTGGAGCTAGTCATATGGTCTGAGGCTCTAGAATCAATTACTTAGGGTGAAGGTGTAAAACTAAAAACAAGGCAAGCACTACCTGACTTCACGAGTGTAGCAGTGGCAGAACTGGAAGAAGCAGACTGACAAAGCTTTTCATACTCCGCACCTAACATAGAGATTGTGTCTTTATCCTTACCAATATTAGAAGCAAGAGCATCTTTAGTCACACCAAAACTTTCAAAGTCACCTACCACTACATGGTCAGCCCAAGAAGATGGAGGGTCATAAAGATCATAACAAAAGTTGACTATGTAACCTTGTCCACAATGTGAGTACTCACGAGCTGAACCATTGCCATCACCAATACGACCACCACACCTCTTGCACCACGAGCCTCTCTACCACCTCCACATCCACCCTTGAGCCCACAACCAAAACCCCTCACACTACCTCCACCTCTAACCACACATATTTCTACCAGGAAAACCTCCTCTAGAAACCACCATGGTTGATCTCTCTAAAGGTGGGGGATGATCACTATGTGGATTTGAGGCTCTCCTTATGTGGGAGAAAACCTTGGACAATGAATACAATTGCTTAGCATGTTGAAGAGAAAAATAGTCTTTGTATAACTGGTAACTTCTTGTAACATTGTCTTGTCCATAATACAATTACTTAGCATGGTCCCAAATCTCCTCGGTCATGTCCAGAAATATAAGGTTCACACTAATATATTCTCCATACTATTCCAAAGAGATGTCATAATTTGGGCATTCTCTTGTATCCACTCATTGTACCCTTCTAATTCAGTTTTCAATGGACCCTCCTTGGTGTAATTTAACTTCCCTCTTGCAATGAGATATACCTCAACTGACTTGGCCCATGGGATATAATTAGTACAATTAATTTTCACCATAGTTAATTGAGAAGTCTTGAGATCTGGTTGCACAACTACTGTAGGTTTAGTGTTACTACTTGATGAAACCATGAATATGAAAGAGATCACTGGTGTATCACCTAAGCAAACTATCAAACAGCTGGTATGCACTTACTGTAGCAAACTTTTTCTTTAGGAAAAACACCAAGAATCACCAGCCTTCTACTTTAGAAACACTAGAAGAAGATCACACACTTACCACAAGATGTTACCACACCACAAACCACCACAAAATCACCACACATTGGGAAGCGCTTACCTCAAAATTCGAGACATCACAAAGCTGCCCTCTTTGAACTGCCGAGTAGAAGGTCTTTAGAAAAGCACCACTAACTCACATAACACTGCAACTTGAGGCATTAAAACCTCTTTTCCAAGGGGGCGATCAGTCCTTTTGAGTCCTTTTCCTTTCCAACAAAGAATAGAGAACATTCTCTATTCCTAAGGCACAAAAAGTTGAGACATGAACAGTGCCATGAAAAGTACAGTCGACCTGAAAGCTATGATACCATGTTCCAACTTCAATAAAGAAAGGTAAAGTGGAAGAAAGGAAGAAGGTAGGGAGAGAAAGAGAAGAGAAGGAGAAGAAAAGAGGGAAGACAAGGAGAAATCTCACTCAATTCTCCTTACTGTCAACCTAGCTTGTATTAACATTTTACTAAAACTGAGACAACGATGCCCTTAGATAAGTTACAACAGATATAAGAGAGAAAAAATAACAAGGAAAAGACAAGAATGCCCCTATCAATTAATTCTAACACTGAAAATCTCAAATTCAGCTTCACAAACTTACATAGGGTCAAACTACGTCAATGGAATTTGTAGAAGACAGGAGCACTAAGTCAAAAACCCATTCCTCTGAGTAAATGATTAGTCTGACTACCAAATATCATGCCAAGGATCCTTTTTAACTTTTTATTTTCTTTTTTGATTATGAGGTCAAAAGAGTTTGTTGATAAGCAGTAGATATTGAAAAGAGGATGCAATCTTCTAAAACCTATCAGCTAGAGTAAGTCAACTCTCTAATATCTGCTAGAGTTGATCAACCCTCTAGGTCCACCAGAACACTATGGTCACATTTTCCTCCTAGAGAAATGCAATTATTTTTCCAAGACAAGACCTTCCTAGAAAATATGTCTAGCACATGGTTCCAAAATTGTTGAGACATAGGCTTTCCCCCAAGGAGAAGGCCCAAGTATCTCACATGTTTGTTGTGGAGAAGTAGGCCAACTAAACTATTGGCTCCTTGGTGGGTTTTATATACTTTGTTTTCATCATTATTATATGTTGCCACCTACTTAAGAGGAAGGCCTTGTCCTCTTACTATTTGTAACATTTTGTACAACTGAATGGGGCAAAAAGGGTCAATGGGTCATTTACCTGGTCCATGATTTTTTGTGACTACCAACTAGGTGGATTAGAGGTTGAACAAACTGGAATTGTCACCAGGTCAATGATGGGTTGCAAACATTGGCCCAAAGTGGCCACTCAAAATACACTTTCTTATGCTTGTCAACCCTAGATTTTCACACACCAAGCAATGGCTCCTTTTCCCAAATATCACAAATGGGAAGTAAAATATTATTGCATAATCACAAAAGTGATTACATTCTCTATGTCCATTTTATTATGAAATAACAATTAATTCAACCAGAAAGATGCAGCTATAGTGCCAACAGATAAAATTTCTAATGCTTAATATGATAAAGCCAAAGCAGAAAAGGAAGGATACCTGTGTAGTCCAAAATATGCAGGAAAAAGCTAAGCTTGTAAAAGAATGTTTCCAACTGCTTCATATCACTAACTGAAATTTCTGAGCCACTATTTCCAAAAAGCCCACCAGGCTTCCTTAAATTACCACCAGAAACAAGCTCGTATATTAAGAATTGTAGACAATGAACCTAAAACAAACAAAAAATAATAATTAAATTTTTGAAATGATTAAAGCTAGTTTAAAATTTGCCAAATCACATTTATAGGCAGAGAGAGCACACATGATAACAGAAAAAGAACAAGCTAGTTGATATCTATAGAGCAGTATTTATATCAAGGTGACCTATGAAAATTGATATCTACAGAGGTCAACAATATTCTCAAGAGCATAGTTGTTAAGGCAGCTCCTAGTCAACAAGGCACCCATGGAGGGTTGCCTCACTTAAGTGCGTAGATATTTCATTCATTGTGCTATAAAATATTTTTATATTCTTTATTTTTTGAGACTATAATAATAAAATAGACATTACTACACTAAATTATTCATTTTGTGGGTTTATATACTAGTTTCTTTTAATTATTTTCTTATTTATTAGGGTTCAATCAACACACATGTCAGTATATGCTATCTTGAACCCTTGAAGACTTCAAAATCTGAACTGATCAGCAAAGAACTTAAAATTTTTGTCCAATCAAAACATTCTTCTTCGCCTTTTATTCAAGGTTTTAAAAGGCTAAAAGCGAAGGCAAGGCATAAGTGTTGAGGTGGTTTGAGGTGTAAGCCTCAAAGTATTAAAAAAATGTATATAATTTCTTCCCAAATTGTCCAAATGAAAGCAGCTCTGGTGCATCTCCACATTATGCTTCTCATTTTCTTTGGCCACATAAAACTTGTAGGATAAAAAGGCTTGGTATACTAGATGACAGAGTTGATCTGCACCAAAATAAAGAGAAAAGGCAAACCCAAATGCTAGTAACAAATGGACATGAGTCTCACAATTGGCCTTGCAAAGAACATCCAATGACAGGATAAACATTGATTAGGTCTCCTTTGGAGCAAATTGCAAGTATTAATTTTCTGTTGAAAAAAAAAAAAAAAACTTTCCAGCTGAAGCTCCAATTCTAAGTGAAATAGGTATACACCACACCTCTTTACAAGGAAAGGTTGCATGGGAAGAAGAGACCGGGTTAAAACCTTAAAGAATGAATCACAAGAGAAAGAACCTGAGGGAAACAGGATCCCGGTTTGAACGTCAGACTTAAAAGGGACAAGTAAACTCCATCAAGGATTAGTAGGAGGCTAAGAACACTAGGGAATTCAAAGCCATTGCTTGAGGAAGGAGCAAGAAACTTGGCCATAGAGTCTACTTTGTAGGTAGAAATAGCAAAAAGAGAAGGAAATTGTTCTTTTAACTGAGACTACCCAAACCATATATGTTCCTAGAATTTAACATTTTTACCTGAGCAAACATCATACAAGATAAATGGAAGGAAGAGAGGGGGTATGGAATGAATTACCATCCACGGGTTAGCCTGAGTAGCCCTAGAAGATAATCTAGATACTAGCATCCCATTCATTATCTATCAGCCCATGTGTTCTTGTCACAACCTGGTGCCATAGTTTGTCCATCTATATTGGTAATCTCCATGATCATTTCTCCAAAAGAGCCATATTCCTCATTTCAATCCTTCCTATTCTCAAATCTCCCTGCCTTTTTTGCTTCTACACCATTTCCCATTTAACCAAATGCTCCATTTTCCTCTCCCCTAGTTCCCACAAAAATTCCCTCATTATTTTCTCAAATTTCTTACCCACTCTATATGGAATCTTAAACATAATAGATAGTATAGTAGAAGATTTGCCAATGTAGACTTAATTAGTGTTATTCTACCCCTAAAGAGATATATCCCTTTTTTTACATAGCCAGCCTTTTTGAATATCTCCCTAGAATCAATTCCCAAAAGCTATGCTCTTTGGGGTTGGCTCCTAAGGGAAGGCCTAGGTATTTCACTGGCCAAGAAATCACTAGGCATCCCACAATGGCTGCATAGGCTGTTGGTTCTTCCTCACTCATGTTTACTCCCACCAAGCAACTTTTGTCAAAATTCCTTCTCAAGTTAGAAATAACCTCAAAAAGTTCCATTGTTATCTTCAATTTTCTCCTCTTTTCCATCACAGAATAGCATAATCTCATCAGCAAACATTAGGTGGGTAATGGTTATCCCATCACTTCCTACCTCCACCCCTTAAGTAATCGCATGCTATTAGCCATTAAAATAAATCCATTGAGCATGCCAACTATGAAGGGAAACAAAAAGGGGAACAAAAGATCACCTTGCTAAAGCCATAATGCAAAGTAGGAAAAAGTCAAAGACTGCCCCATTTATTAATATCAAGTAGTGGCAAGCCTAAAGGCACCCCATGATCCACTTTCGCCATCTCTCCCCAAACCCACATTACTTCAGTACCTCCAGTAAGAAAGACCAGTCAACCAAATCATTAGCCTTCAATAAAGCCTAATACAATAAAGCCTAATACAAATGATCCCTATTACAATAAAGCCTAATACAATAAAGCCTAATACAAATGATCCCTATTAACCCCCTATGATTTTCCTGTCTCATATAAAGGCTCCGTGAGTGCATGTGATAATGGATGGAAGTACCTTCTTGATCATCAAAGATAAGACCTCAGCAATGATTTTATACAGACTGGCAGACTGCTACTAACTACCAAGCTAATAGGTCCAGAGTCTTTGGGGTGATTGGTTTCTAGATTTTTGGGAAGTAAAACCCAAAAAGTAGCATTCCCTCTTGGATTTATTATTCCCCTTTCAAAGAACTCATTGAAAACTTCCAAGAGATCAAACTTTAAGATATCCCAGCAGTCCTGATAAAAGAACCATTGTATAAATAACCATCTAGCCCTGAAACCTTTTATCTATCCAAGAGAACTTCATGAATTGTTAGAAGAAGTGCAATTCCAATATTGCATATTACACAGAAAGCAATAGAAAACAACTGTGTATATCAAATAGGACCAAGAGACTTGTATATGTATATATTTCTCTCCCCCTCTTAGTCCTTTAGCCATCTTCTCTTCTATATGTCTGTCATTCACTTGCCATTTTGGTTTCTGTCTTTTTTCCTACCACATGTTTTGATTAGATCAAGAATCCACTTTCATAGTTGTCAGTCTTGTTTTGTTCCCATTGAATTATAGTGACTTCATAAGCGAATCATACTCAGAATAGTAAGCCAATCTTCCAATAACAGAATCCCATTTGTTCCTTCAAGAAAATATTTAAAAAGAAAATCAATGATTTTAACGAATTATCAGAAAGTTTTAATGATATTCTAAAATTTTAATTCTTGGATATAGAATTTTTCAATGAAATTGGAAATATTGCCAACACATCAGCAATGTATCAAAGAAATGAAGGAAACAGAAATCTTAAAATATTTCATATCGTCTTCAGCAAAATGGAGAAATTTAGTCAAATCTCACTGATATTTAGCACCATGCTTGTAAATTTTTCAAAACCTAAATTAATAAATTCTTTCATTATCAATCAACAAAAAGGACCACTTTTTCACAATGCTAGTTATAACATTAAGTTTAACTTTCCAAGCTGCATGACCAGCAGCACTATAAATAACTATCTGATGGAGACAAACAAGAAGTAATGCTAGTTTCAAATASAGAAACCTGAGCAGCTGTTGGTGCAACTGGTCTTGGGTAAAAGAAGTTCCCTTTGCTTTCTTGACCTCCATGCTGTAATGGTTCTGATTCAGTTTTGCTTGTATTTGCCATCCAGTCTGCTGAAAGCGTCCGCATGTCAGAAAGAATCCTGAAATTTTTTAAATGAAACAAAAAATGAGTAGCTCAAAAAGCAGGCAGTAGGGATAAATTAATTTGCAGAAGCAATTTTTTTCTAATTCAGTTCTTACATGGAAGTGTCCAAACTTTTTCTAAGTTCTGTCACTATAGGTTGTGATTGAGAGACCATTACTATATCAATATAAGATCTAATAATTAGATTTTGTGCCAATAGTGCTAATGGGGTTTTCTACTTTTTGGTGTTGAAATGGCTTCTGTCTATACTTTTATTTTTTGATTTTTGATATGTTCCTATAAGTTATTTAAGCAAGACTCGAGTTTGTTTTCTATCCTACAGAAAAAAGGAGAAGGCTCTCATCTATTTGCTTTTCTATTGGGTGGATGGTTTCCCAGCTTAAAAATCTCACTTGAAGTGAGATCTATGAAGCCTCTTACTTTACCTTTTGTTATGAAGGGTGTAAAACAGCTATCTGTCTCTCTAATCTTTTGCCTGCATTCTGTCTAGTCATATCTGCTGTTCTGATAGAGTAATTAAAAAAATAAAAAAATAAAAAAAAAATAAACTAGCAAAAGACAAGATGAAAGTTTACCAAAAACAGTATTTCCTTCTGTACAAGGGGTAGGGGGAATTGATTTGGACTGAGATCGAGGATTTCAAGGCCTGAAGCTCTCAAAATCTCAACATACACAAAAGCATTCTGACTTTGAAAGGTAAGCCAACTGATTTGCAAATAATTTGCTATTGATAGAACATAACGTTCAGAAAAATGAAATCATCAGCTGACAGTTGATAAAAATCAATACAGGATTCACAAAAAATACCTATTTAAATAATGATAAAGGCATAAAGCACATAGGAGTTGTTAACAACAAGTAAGATGCATGTACCTAGACAAGTCCTTCTTCTTGCGAAATGTTGTTCGCAGCATAGTGGCTAATTTGTTCTGTACAAAATCCTGGACCTCAGCATGGATTGTTTCCCATAAAGCATCTGCCACTAATGTGTCACATCGCTGCATCATTGAGCCAATACTCTTTATGTAACTGACAAGTTCAACTAGTGCCTTCCTTTCTTCCATTGTGTAGTTCCAGCGAACAACCTGTACAGATTTAGAAAGTAAGTCATCTGCAAGCTCAAAAAGAGGGAAAGAGAAAACAGAAACAGAAGAAAAGGTCATTTAGGAAAATTAACAGTAGATGAAACATACTTCTTATTGGTTAGTCTACAAAATGTATTAATATGTATGAAATCAGTACTAAAATAATTACTTTAGCATCATCTCAGTAAAAATAAAAATATTTTATCAGAAATATAAACAAGCAAGAGAGATGCATAAAGAGAATAATGATAAATTCATCTATTCTTCATCTTTTCCAATTTTGTAGAGATGTGAATCAAGTGTTATTTTGTGATTTTGTGAGCTGCCTAAAATGTGATTGATAAAATGCTCTTAAAAGTGGAACAACCATTCTAATGGTTTCTGACCGTATAAAAATGTTCTTTTGAAGTGAGCGTTCTGATCGATTGACTTTTGACCCAAATCAGAGAAGCTAATCAATTTTCTAACCAGTAAAGGAACTCTTGCCAAAAGAATTCCACCGCAGAATGGATTTGAAACTTCAGGGCGAATTCACTGATCTTCCTTGTTACAAAATTAGTGGTGCAACTTGGGCATGCTCAGATTGAGCAAATATTAAAATTTGAATGGGCATGAGCCCTTGATGGAATGTAAAATGTTTAATTCTGTACCCAACTTGCATCTCTTGACAAAATCAATCACATCAAGTAGCTGAGATCAGATTTGGAGCAGATACAGCATTTGCTTCTTTTCTGAAATAGTAAGGTAAGACTTCATTCATATTTGCGAATCAGCATATACAGGTATACTAAGTATAGTAAGGATTTATCAAGGGTTAAAATCCATCAAAAATAAAGTAAAATTTGATACTATCTGTGGGAAAAAAACTATATCATGAAAGAATAGGGGTATAGCATGTCCTGGAAACTGTGGTGAAAGCCAAGAGTAAGCTGCTGCCTTTGCTTTGCTTAACAAGTCCTGATCCGGCATAGCTTATTCTTTCTGAAATATCCTAACATTCTTTCTGACTGAATTAATGGTATTGCTGCGAAGGGAATTATGCTCTATGCCACTTTCCTCTTTTACTTGAGCCCTTTGTCCTCCATTCTGCCAAAACCACCTTAATGGTTCTTGGGCAGCAGCAGGAATAATTGATGTATTTCTCCCTCTAGAGTTGACTTTTCTCTTAACTTTTATCCTTCTCAATCATTCCTCTTTGTGGTAGTGATCCCTTCCAAGGACTGTAATGGGAGTGCTATGAACTATGAGGCAGTGATGTCCACCCTAGGCTGAAATCATTTAATGAAATCTAAGGTCAGAGAGAACTTCCTTGCCTTTGCACCCAGCAAATTCCTGGTGCCATAGGTGGGGAAAAAAAAAATCTTTCTACTTGGTGAAATATCATCACCGTTTCCTTGTACTTCTTTTTATTAATAAAATATAAAATTTTGCATTTTGCCATCATAAAAAATGAACCGGGTCTTACGTGGTTCAAGGGGAAAAGAAATGATGACATTTCAGCAAAGTACAGAGTGAAAGAATACAGAGTAGGTTACCACTCATTCCCTATCCCTCTTGCCCTGCCCCTTAGAGACAAAGAGCATCAAGGGGACTAGACCATAGTGGTAACATAAAGCACAGCTTGATGTAGGATGGGAAGGCAAATGTCCAACTAGGGTGAAGGGAGTAATTGAGGATCAGATTGTTAAAAATGTGGAAGCACAACACAAGTTGTTTCACTACCAGGAGGCATGAGACATAATTCAGAATGCAAGAGAGTTAAGCCTCCTTAAGAGGAGGAAAGAGGAGTTCTCTTTCTTTCTTTCTTTTATTTTGATCAATGTTTCTTTCTTTCTTTTCTTTCCTTTCCTCTTCATTTTTCTTCACTTTCTCTCTTTCTATCTTAAGCATACCAAAGGTGTACGCCACAGATGCATATAAGCTTCCAAAGTACGCCCCACAGCATTTTGAGTGCACCTCACCTTGAGGTGTGCCTCCCGGCATACTCCTCAAATACCTTTTAAAACATTGAGAAAGACATTCAGATCTAGAAATAGAAGAGGAAAAGAAGGAAACAAAATTTGCACCTTTAGAGATAATGAGAAAGAGAGGAGAAAAGAAAACACTTACAGGGAACTTTAGAACAAAGCTCTCAACCTTCTATGAATTAATAAGGGAGAGGGCACTTATAACAGAATGTCTAAAAGACAACAGATCCCTCAAGATGAAGTCCAACTGGGTCCCAGGCAATTTCACTCCATCAAAAAGCAGTCTAGGCTTCCACCAGTAGCCTAAGACACCTCAGCTGACCCTAGTTTCATACCACTTCAGCCCCCCCCCCACCCACTCACCCTACAGTTAATGCCCTCATAGTTGAAAATAATTCTGCAACAGATTTAATCATTAATCAAAATAAGTGACAAATTAAGAAGAGAGAAAGAGAGTTCAGGAGGAGAGATAAAGAAGAGAGAGGAAAAGAGCTAATCATTAATCTCTTCAGTCCCTAAATGATCTTTTACTAGAACTAATTGTAATTAGTTGTGTAATTACAAGGGTGCCCTTAGTAGGGTGGATAACCAATAACAAGTCAAGAAATAAATTAAATGGGCCCACAACTAAGGCCAATTAGCCAATAAATAAAACAAGTTTTATGGACCCAATAAAAGAAAGAGACACTAAGGTTCATTAGGCCCAACATCTCTACACCCATAGTGTACCAAGCCATGGAAAGCACCTCATTTCCTTGTGCCCCTCCATTACTATCAACAAACGATCGTATATTATGGCAAGCAATCATAGCCTAGACCTGATCTATCCTATCAATCAACTAGATCCAAGGTGATCCTTCCCTCTACGAGAGAGCTGTTGTGGCCAGTACCACCTAGAAGGTCAACTTCCATGACTCACCCTCTTGTACTCTCATAGTCATTCAGGCAGGACAGCAAGGTAATCCTTGGGAGTCCTCCATAGCAGCCACACCACTAAGGAAAAACCTTTTGTCAAAACTCCTTTTCTTCTAGTCCTCCAACATGGAGATGTTTTTGACTCATTTATGCAGTTAAGAAAGCATCCTAACATGAGATCAGGTGATGGGACAAACCCAATTGATATGTAGTAACCATCCCATAAACAACAGCTTCACTTTTCAGTTTTCACATAACTTGAGTCTTAAAAGAAACTGACACTGAAGGAAAATAGAGGAGCATGCAACCATAATAAAGCACACAAAAATTATATCAGAAAACAATTACTACAAATCAAATGGCACTTCAAGTTTCATACATAACAATAAGAAATAAATAATAAATGGAAAACACCTTCTCATAGTCAGAATATGGTGTAGAAGGCTCTTGAGATTCTACAGGAATCTCATCTTTGCAAGGGCGAGAGAATTTCCAAGCACATTGCTCCCAAACACGTCCAGTCCATCTGCTTAGGAGCTGAAAACCTTCAACTACCATATCATACATATTCCCCTTAACTTCCTTGCACCACTCAAAATCAGCACCATCAGTTGATTTCAACAATACAATCTGCACATTACAGGATATACACCAACAGCACCTGGTAATTAGATTATAGAAGAGGGTGTAAAGCTTGCCAACTGAAAATCTACAAATTCAGGAATGCTGAATTTTAAGCAACCTAATGACCTAAAACATACTCCAGTTAAAGTATTTCAATAATAATAATCTAATATGGGCTGTGACATCTGACCAATCATGATATGCAAGTGAATACCTGATTCATGGCTGAAGCAAACCGAATAGCAAAGTCATCATGCTCGGCACGAATAACACCTATGTGATTAACAATCAAGTAATGTCTCTGATAAGTGAGGATGTCAAGGTTCACATTTAGAAAGTTTAAGGAATAATAAARGAAATGTTCAATGGGTAATAGCACTTAAGAAAACCATAATTTTTCAACCAAAAAGCATACAATAAATTGGAAGTTGCTCAACAATTTTATCATTACCTAGAAGAATGACGTATAGAACAAATTAGCAGCTTGAGAGAAATGCATTGGACATTTTAACCAAGAAAAAAATATTAGATGAAACAAAAACACAATCCAATTCAACAAAAGAAAAGCATAATATCCCAGCCATGAAAAGAAAATAACAAATATAATGTACTTTTGTTCTTATTATTTTAAAAATTTAGGACGGCAAATGGAATACATTTCTCCAGGCTCAATCCATCCATAAATGGACCAAATGTGGATCCACCACAATCTGATCCAATTTGATACGAATCTCGCACACACACACACATACTACATAAGAGAAATATCTACATATTAATAAACTGATTTCAATTTTGTATTTTTAACTAGAGTCATAGGCTCAAGTCTCCCAGAAGTTATTTTTAAATCACTTTATTCATGAAATATAATATCGAATTCATTTCTAGTTGATTTTATTAATACTATACAATACTGACCTTTGATAGAGTTCTGTTTTTGCAGTGTTTATTTATTACTCTTTGGGTGGCAGGGTAGTTTTTGTCTTTTTACTGTGTTTAATAAGGGCACTCCAATCATTCTTTTATGATAAACAGGGACATTAGTGTAATTGCACCATTATTTAATGGATATATATATATGGATACCAGCCACCAGATTGGAGAGACTGATCACTCTAAGTCTCCACCAAACTGGGGCTTGTGAGATTCTGCTTTTCTCAGTTTCAGTTCTTCCTCTTCTCTTTTTCTGTGTTCAGTTCGGCATAAGGTACATAAAATAGGAAACAAAAAATTTAGCAAGAGAAAAGATCATATAACATTACAAATATAAGGGGAATAAAACCCATAAAAAGAAAATTGGCAAAACAAAAGAGAGCCCCATACAGTGTTGTCCACAAAACAGCTCTTGAAAAACCACCCTGAGCAAATGTCAACAAAATTTCAGAAAAGACTTGGAAAAAAAATTGGAAAAGATTACAAGAATCCAGTCCAATGAGAAAGCACAATGGAGAGATTTAAGTGAGATTTTCCTTCAAATATTGTTCAGTTATACTCCTTCCAAATCCCCTAACAAACAGAAAATGGAATTACCCTCCATGTTCTATAATGATAACTAGCTCCCAATCTGGGTTATCAACCAGAGAGATCTATAGTTTAACTTTGGATGAACTAGTTTTTTTTTTTTTTTTTTGAGAATAAAGGCTCCAGCTTCCTTTTGCCTCTTGCAAGTGATAAATAAATGAGGCATTTTTTGTTTTCTTATAGTAAATAAAATAAAAACTTTCATTAATGGAAAAGTAAGTTTATTGTCTTCTTTGGGTCTAGTATAAAGGGTATCTCAAGAGAAGACCGTGAAGACATTTTGTTAGTATATACTCTTCAGAACTTGGGATTGATTCAGAACTTGGGATTCAGAAGGGGGAAACTATATACTTTTCAGATGGTCTCTTTACCTGCTCTTCTTTTTTCAGTGTTCTTGGTTTGCCTAGCATCCCAGTTGGGAACTTCCCTGTGAAAGAAGTGTGGAGTAAGCCTATCCCCCCAAAAATTCAAGTTTTCTGTTGGGAGATTGTCCTTGGCAAGGTAAATACTTGTGATATGCTGCAGAGAAGAAGGCCTCTTGCTTGCCTTTCTCCTCACATTTGCTCCCTTTGTAAGGAAAGTGGTGAGACCCTCTAACATTTGTTAATATCTTGTTCTTGTGTGCTTCACATATGGGAGTTCTTTTGTGTTCTCTTTGGTTGCAGGTGGATTCCCCCTCAAAATGTGGCAAGCCTTTTCAACCGTGATTTCTTGACCAACCAAAGAAAAGAGGAATGGTAATGTGGAGAGCTACGAAGGCAGCAACTTGCTGGGTGGTATGGGAAGAAAGGAATAACAGAATATTTTTGGAGAAAAGTAGGACAGTGGAGGAAGTAATAAACACTATAAAGGTTAAAGTAGCTCATTGGGTAAAATCCTTGCATAGTTTTCAAGAGCTCTCAGTCACAGACATTCTAAGAACGTGGACGGAAGTAGCAGTCTTCAAGAATGAAAAAGAAAGTACGGATGGAGTGGAAACCCCCAAAAGGCAACAGGATTAAACTGAATCTTGTTGGGAGCCCCTTTGGAAATCCAGGACTGTCAGGTATAGGAAGAATCAGAAATTCTGAGAAGAGGGTATTGGCTTTGTTTTCAGGTCCGATTGGCACTGGTAACTCACTAAAAGCCGAGGTGTTAGCTCTGTAACAAGGGCTGGAGCTAGCTAAGCAGCTAGGACTTGGGCATATTGAGGTGGAGGGGGACTCAAGAGTGGTCATTTCATGGGCTACAAACAATAGACTTACTCCGTGGACTTTCAAACACGTGATTAGGGAAGTGGAAAAGATTGCAAAGGAGGTAGAAGCCAATTTCAAATGGGTCAGAAGGAGTGCTAATGGGCTAGCTGATGCTCTTGCAAAACAAGGGGCACTGAGACAACAATTATTTTGGGCTGAGCTGTAAAGAGGAACAGAAATATGTACTCAATGGGAACCGCATTCCCATCTACATGTTGTAAATCTTTGTCTTAAATCTATTATAAATAAAATTTTCTTTTACTGATCAAAACAAAATAGCAACTTACAGTTATGTTTGAGAGCTAAGACAATACAATTTGGGGCAAATTTTGCAGAGAAGTGAAATTTGTCCCACAATGATTGAAGAATGATTAAAGAAAATAGAACCTATCAAAAAAAATGATTAAAGAAAATAGACACCAACATCAACTAAGGGAGAGTTCTATTTCAAAACCCATACAATTGAATAAGAAAGTACATCACAATACTATCAAATAAAGAACCAGATATACATATATTCAATCTAGCAATAATAGAAAGGATATTCTTGTGTATCACGAGGAAGGAGCTCATGTGGTGCTGGAAGAGTGAGAAGACGAGTTTGACTTGAGAACTTTTGGAAGTACATAGACAACTCTTTTAACATTGCAGCTGGAGAGAGATGAAGATCTGGAAATGCAGGAATAACAGGATCATTCTGCAAAAAGGATATAAAATCATCTTGAAAATGAGTAAAGCAAGAACACATAAAATGTAAAACTTATTTTGAGATAAGAGAGTAGTGTGTTAGAATAACACACAAAAGTTAGACCTTGAACAGGTTGATCAGTCTGTTGATTTTCACCCTCTTAAACAGTGATTCACCATCTTTCTCTGATGATGTTGCTAAAACAACAAGAATGGGCAAAACACGAAGAAGGGTGTGGCGATCTGGAAAGAGTAGTGCAAAATCCAACTCCAAAGACTCCACACAAAATATTATGAGGACTTGAAGAATGTCCTCTACACTATCTTAGAGTGAAGGACCTCAAAATTATAATAACATGTAAGAACATCATCTGAATAAGCACAGAATGTCATGTAATAGTTAAGGCAGTATTTGGTAAAGTTCCTTGCAGCATTACCAAACACCACTTAAATTGCATCTCAATAATTAAAAGTGGAAATAAATGTCAAACCAAGCATTAAACAGAACCTTCCTGTTTAAGATGGAATTGCTAAATATGTGCCTCAGAGGAAAAATATAATTGCACAGGTACAGGATACTTGTTCACACGAAACATCTCAACATGCAAGTTCAATAAAATGGCCCATCTTGTGCTTAAGAAAATCTGCAAAGAAATAACAGTGCAATTGAGTTAATAAAAGGAAACTTATGTGGAGTGAGATCCCAGTTATCTTTTTTTTCTTTTTTTTTGATGAGTAAATAATAAAAATTTCATTAAAAGGAAAAAAAAAACAAAGTACAAACAGAGTAGGTGTTAAGGCCACCAATTCAGAATAGATCATCCAAGTTTCATATTTGTAACCCCAAGACTTTCACCAAAAACTGTCCCCTAGGTCCTCTTTATTTACTTAATTAAATTCTAGCACTACAACACCCAAACTGATACAGATTTCTTTCCTTGTTCCAAGCTTTATCGTCATAACCACCAACCACCCTATAGGCCCTCCGCGCTCACATCCACCCACTTCCCTTTACTAAAACCCCTGATTTCAATCTTCATATTAAGGTCATAATTTCCACTTTCGTTTCTTTTTTTTTTTTGATGAATTCAAAAAAATAAAAAATAAAAAAAGTCTGGCTTATGCATCTCAGCAGAAACCCCTCCCTAGAACTCTTCTCCCTCCTCCCAATCCCCTTAAATTCTAAAACATTAATTTCATTTTCACCTTCAAACACCCCACCCCTCCCTTATTAGCTTTCAGGTGACTCCATCCATTCTTCCTTCCCTCCCTTCTCCTTCCACACCTCTCCCTCTTCTCCCACTGCTTTCTTTTTAATATATTCTTCCCTCCTATTCCTTTTGAATTGTTCAATTCACTCTCTGACAACTTTCTCCTCACCCGAAAAGAATATTCCAAGTGATTTTCCTACCTCCATTAATTGTTCAATCTCCACCCTCTCTTCAGCAATTTTTTCTTCGCCAGAACATTCCCCTCCTTCAAGATCTTCTGTCACCTCACCACCCTCCCTTACTTCTTCTGCCCCCTTCCCCCTAACATCCACTTCTCCCCTTTCAGCCCACTCCACTTCCCAAAAATGAAAATTTTCTCTTTTGGTTGTACACTCTATGCCATTTCTCGAGTCTGTTACACTCCCCTTCTCTGAATATCCTCTTCAACATTGGAAACTATCAGCCCAGATGAAGAGGAAAGAGGAAGCGAACTTACCTCAGCATTTAGTTTTTCAATTATCTCAAGGGTCTCCGATACAGGAGATCTTTCTGCACCCTCCACCTCAGCCCCCAAACTTCGATGAGTCACATCGACTGAGATATCATCGCCACCAGAAGAAATGCTCTGACCTTCAACTTGATTTTCCAATGATTGGACTTTCGACCAGTGATCCTCCCTGCTGAGATATCTAATTGTTTGTTATTACTCATTTCCCCACCTTGTTGGATGTGATTGATAATAGGGTAGGGCTTTACTGTTTTTTTCCATTTCTTTTGATATGGTCTATACTTGCTGTTTATTTTTTAATAACAGATCTACAAGAATTCTATCCACATTAGAAAGGTTTTCAAAGAAATTGGTAGTTTGGGAACTACATCTCTTTGGGTGGCAAGTTAACTCTTATCAAATCTACCTTGGCAACCCTCCTAGTGTACTATTTGTCAGTAATTAAGATTTCGCAATGGATAGCCAAGAAAATTGAAAAAAAAAATCAAGAGAGTTTTCTTGTGAGAACCAGGGGAAGGAAAAAAAGATTACTTGGTTAGGTGGGAAGTAGTGTGTAGGAGAATAAATCAAGGAGGGTTGGGAATAGGGTATATTGGGAAGAAGAATATAGCACTATTAGGGAAGTGGTTGTGGAAACTGCCTATTGATAAAGAGAAGTTATGGCATAAGATGGTGGCGAATATTCATAGGTTGATGAACAATGGATGGGATGCTGGCTTACAATATTCTTCCATTTTTTGCTCAATGGCATCAAGTATGACATTTATTCTGGCAATAGAATCATTTTTGGGAACATCTTTGGGGAGGGRATTCTACTCTTAAACACTAATTCCCCTCTTTGTTCTCACTCATCTCTCTTAAGAAATAACATATTTCAAAACTTATTTCCTCCTCCTCAATCATCACCAATGGATTTATTTGATTGGGATTTTGGCTATAGAAGAGGACTTAGACTTGAATATACCTCTTCTTAGAAATCAATTACAAGGTATATCCAACTTTCCTCATTTCCACCCGTTTTGATGTGGGAAATGGTAACAAAGTCTGGTTTTGGGAAGACCTTTGGCTTGGGGGCCCCCCTCTCAAATTGTAGTTTCCTATGCTATATGCCCTCTCTAACCTTAAAGGTGAAACAATCTCAAAAATGGGGACATCTCCCCAAGAGATAAATTGGGACCTTGACTTCGGAAAGGGCCTAAGGGAAAATGAATGTGAATCCCTTATTTTGTTATTCATTTACTAGCCAATTTGGAATCAATGTTTATTGATCTTAGTGTTGAGGATACTAGGGTTTGCACAGCTTCCCCAAATGGTTTGTTCACTTGTGCCTCCTTTTTCAATAATCTAACTTTGTTAAATACTTCAAGGGTAAACTTTCCAGTGAAAGAAATTTTGAGTAAGCCTATTCCCTAAGGGAATTTCCCTCCAGGTACTCTGAGGCCACATCTAATCCAAAATGGAGAAAGAGGCTATGCAAGAGGAAATGAGAGCCTTGGTGAAGGCTAAGTCTGGGAATTAGTGGATTTACTAGAAGGCAAGAGCACTGTGGGGTGCAAGTGGGTGTTTAATGTGGAATATAAGGCGGATGGTTTAATTGAAAGATATAAGGCTAGGTTGATGGCAAAAGGGTTTGCACAGGAGGGGATTGATTACAAGGAGACTTTTGCACCGGTTGACAAGCTCAACACCATTTGGGTTTTGTTGTCCTTAGCTACAAATTTCTCTTAGGAGCTACATCAATTAGATGTAAAAAAATGCATTCTTGAGAACTGACATGAGGAAGTGTTTATGAACCCCCCCACCTAGCTATGGCTTTTAGGGGAATGTGTGTAGACTAAGGAAAGTTTTGTATGGGCTGAAGCAATCTCCTTGGACTTGGTTTAAGAGGCTTTGTGGGGCTATGAAGAATGAAGGACACACTTAGAGTGGGGCTAATCATACTTTGTTCATAATGAGATAGGGTGATATGCTTAAAACTCTTAATAGTCTATGTGGATGATATGGTCATCGCAAGTAATGATCTAGAAGAGATAAACAGATTGAAAGAGTTCTTGGCATCTAAATTTGAGATTAAAGATCTAGGCCATCTAAAATATATGTCAAAGGAAGTATGTTCTTGATCCGCTAGAGGAGATGGATATGATGGAGAGTAGACCAGCAGATGCACCTATGGAGCAAAATCATGATCTATAGGAGTCTGTTGGTGAGGATTATTATGACAAGGAAAGGTATCAAAAGCTGGTAGGTAGGAAAATTGATAATACCTGCTCCTTACCCGACCTGATATAGCTTATAAAATGCATGTGGTAAGTCAGTTTTACATGATCCTAAGATCCACATGAAAGCAGTTGAGACTTGAGAGGATCCTCAAATATTTGAAGACTTGTCCAGGGAAGAGAATTCTGTTCAATAGGCACAATAAACTTGATATAGAAGTGTACACTAATGCTGATTGGGCAGGATCAATTGAGGATAGAAAGTTTACTTCCAAATATTTAAAAAGCAAAATGTGGTTGTTAGATCAAGTGCAGAAGTTGAATATAGGGACATGGGATGGCTCCTGGCATTGCAAAACTATTGTCACTCAGGACTCTGAGTGAGCTAGGAATGAAGGTTGATTGTCCTCTCAAGCTGCACTATGACAATAAGGCTGCAATTGATATTGCTAATAACCCGGTACAGCATGATAAAACTAAGCACATTGATGTTGATTGACATTTTATGAGAGAAAGAATCGTCTCAGGTGATCTTTGCATTTCCTACATGCCCTTAGAGATGCAGATACCTGATGTCATGACAAAAGGCCTTCCTCAATGAAGCTTTATGATCTACTTGGCAAGCTGGGCATGATGGATATGCTCAGCTTGAGGGGGAGTGTTGTAACGAGTGACTGTGTGGGCCTTTTCTTCTTTATATCTTAGATTTGTTTCTGTGGTGGGCCTGGATTAGCTGTCTTATTTTTTTTATCTGAGTGTCCCATCACTAATCAGGGGGCACATTAGTTTTTTTATGTAATATTAAACACCTAATATAAATTATGTTCTAGGACCAGCTGAGAACATGCTTGCTGACCATTCACTCTCTTCTCTTCTCTTTGTTTTCTCTTTATCTTGCTCTAATCACCATTGCAGGTCTGATAACAAATTCAATCCAAATCCAAATTACAGAAGTCCAATCCAATCCATTTACAATAAAATAGATTTCAGACCAATCCAATCCAAAATAATGTATGTCCATATTAATATATTTCCTATACATAACATTTGGTTTTCTTCACTTGTAGGACCTACTTTAATAATAAAAAATAATGTAAATAAATTTTGGTTTTGATGCAAACCACCTAAGAAAATTAATAGTCTTCATTCAATGTGCCCGACAAAACTAAAACCAAATCTCAAATGGTTTGAGCCATAGCAATCATGCTTTTGTCATAAAAAAAGATGTTGAAAAGCTTTGAACACACTTGAAACCTGTACCATAATTCATCTAAAATCTCCATCAAGATCTAGAATTTTCTTCTTCAGGGGTCACTACAGTACATAAAGTCTACTGATGTCATTAGACAGTAGTTATGATATCAACAGTCAATTTGGTGCACAATCGGCAGCAGATGTTGTCAATGATGCCCTATTACCAACTCGGATGTTAGGTGACAAGAAAATCTCTAGAGAAGAGAAGTGGTAGAAGAAGAGGGTGGAGAGAGAGAGAGAGAGAGAGAGAGAAAGCAAGAAATAGTTGGTTTGAGAAAATACAAAAAACAAAACATGGGCAGTTTGCCTATTCATTAATATTTATAATGAACAGTACAATTACAGGATTATCCCTCAAAAAAAACCTAGGCAAAAAAAGACATAATAGTAATTCAACAATACCCTACAGAGAAAACCAAAAACAACTAATGGGGGAAATTTGAGATTAAAGATGGCAAAAAATCTTGGAAATAGGCAATGAACTCCCCACCATAGGTCCTCCTAAAACTTAAGCTATTCTGTATAAGAAGGGCCACACCTCATAAAGCAAGTAAGACTAAAAAAGCACATCTTGCAAGTCCAGCAAGACCTTGATTGCTCTTCGGAGTGTGTTCAGAGTAAGGTTCTTTATTTTCTTCTGGCTTTATTGCCCTTTCTTGGTGATAATGTTATTAGGTATTTGCTTTTGCCCTCAGTTCATCCTTGTGGATACATCCTGTATATCTTTTCTCCTCTTTTCTTTAATACAAATTATAGATATTGTTGTCAATCAAAAAAATAGTAGCAATTTCTTATTAAAATGAAAAAGAGAATTAACAAGAAGAGGAGTTTTTGACAGTACACTCCAATACAAAATGGTAAATGCATCTCTAAACAAGAGATTACATCAAGGTAAAATTTGACAAACCTGTAAATCATCTAATTCCTCCCTCATAGAATCAGTATCTTGCCACTGTACACTGACTTGAGTAAATGTCCTGAGAAATCAGCAAGTTGTCAAAACACATTAACTTTTGATGCAGATGGCAAAAAATACAAAAAAAAAAACAGAAAAAAAAATCAAATATCTAACTTGTAGCCCATTGATTGAGTTGAACGGTTCAGCAGTTCAACTGGCTGGTTTATAGGGTAGTTGAAAGGGTTAACTAGTCCAACCAGCCAGCTCACCATGTGATCGACATTCATTGGATCAGTGCAACTAGATGGGTCAAGATGGTGAAAGAGTTGAAGGTCCGGACCAGCCAATTCGCTGAACCATTGTCAAGGTTAGGAGGTTCAGCCAGCCAGTTCTTCATCAGTGGGTTGAAATCACACCTCTGCTCTCTCTCCCCTTATTCTTTATCTCCTTTCTCTTTGAACTAAATGCCCACCTGTCATCATCTCATTAATCCCCATTGTCCATTTAAATTAAAAGAAATGCATTCACTCTAATGAATTACTAATCCAAATGCTTAACTCCACTTAAGCTCCCATGTAAAAATTATGTGCCTGCAATGTGATTTGAACCCAGAGCACCTAAATGAAAGGCAATCATTTTTACCATTAGGCTGTTTATTGACAGGTTATTAATAATAGGTTGGTTTTAACTTTGAAGCCATCTTCTATTATAAAACTAAAATTGTTAAAATGTTAATGGGTTGGGCGGGTTGGGTAGGGTGACCTAGGTCAAGGCAGGTATGGGTTGAATCCAACCAATTTAGTTTCATTTAAATGGGTCATTAAGAGGTTGGAAGGTTAGATGGATGGGTTGATTTTCAACCCAAACCCAACCCGTCCAAAGAATATGTATTTTTGTGCACAAGAAAGAATTCAAGGCATCATATTCATCTAGAGTATATGCAGTAAGAAACTCTCAAGTCAACTATATTCTTAACAGCAACAATAGCTAAAGAATAAGAGTAAATGACAAACCATTTTCTTATAATGCAAATTACAAATCAAGGAAACTTATCAAAAAAAAATTACAAATTAAGAGAGATACATCAACTCAGGTGAAGCAACAAAAAAACACAATAAATCAAAATAATTGGTATACCTTTTATACCAAGAAAAGTCATTAGGTATACTCGCTTTTGCATTCTTAAGATGATCAAGTTGCACCAAAACATCAAGCAACCTCAACATGGACCTGGAATAGAAAAACCAATCTAAGCATACATCAGTTATAGCTATTGGGTACTCCCTGCTGCAAGCTCCTCATAGTTATGTAGTAATAGAACCAGAAAGAGCATATTGGCTTTTCAAGTATACTCCTTTTTGCATTATTTTCCCATCAGCAACAGAATTAATATGGTAATAGGAATGAAAGAAATATAGCGTCTACTCTCCAAGCAAATGTGCAAATGTAGAACATAGATCACCAAAAACTATATCGCCAACTAAACAGACAAAAATAACACTATCAGGTTACAAATTGATCCCTCCACCCGTCATCCCCCATTCAAGGTCACTTTCATTTGCACCTTCCCTAGCCACTCTTTCAGCCATGCTGTTGGCAGACCTAGGATCCACCTTAATGAGCAGTTCAAGTTGGAATCCAGAGCTTTAACTTCCATATCAGAAATCCTAGAGACAATCCTTAAAGCCAACGAGATGTGGAGGAGCTAAAGAGATCTGGAAAAGAAAGGTTTGATTTGCAAGCTCGATTTAGAGAAAGCTTATGATTTGGTGGACTGGGATTTCTTAGTGGAAGTGATGAGGAATTTTGGTTTTGGAGATAGGTGGTGTAAGTGGATTAAGGGATGATGCTTTAGTACTTGTCATTACTAACCTTTGGTTAATGGCACAGTAGTTGACCACTTTCCAGCCATCAGAGGTATTAGACAGGGGGACCCACTCTCTCCTTTCTTATTCACATTAGTAGCAGAAGTGCTATGCATTCTTTTCCTCAGAGCAGATTTGAGGGGTTCGGTGAGAAGTTGGAGAGTGGGAAAAGAAAGAGTGCCTATTACTCACCTGCAGTTTGCCAATGATACCGTCCTATTTTGTGAGGGAGGTGATCTAAATTGGGTAAGGAATATGAAGGAGGTGATCCAAGTCTTTGAGAAAATGACAAATCTGAAAGTTAACTTCAATAAGACTTGTGTGGCGGGCACCAACATGGATGACGAAGAGGTATTTAAATGTGCAACAATATTGCGTTGTGAGGTATGTCAGTGGCCTATGAATTATTTGGGTTTACCTCTGGGGGCAACCGTAGAAGCGTGAATTTTTGGAACCCAGTGGTGGATAGGTTCTAAAAAAGGCTTGCCTCCTGGAAAAGGAATTATCTCTCGATTGGTGGAAGAATTACCTCGATCAAATCAACTTTGGGCAATCTGCCAGTCTACTTTCTTTCAGTTTTTAGGATGCCTACGAGGATCTGTAGAAGGTTAGAGAAGCTAATGAGGGATTTTTTATGGGAACCAGGAGAGGAAAAAAGGGACCATAGGGTGAGATGGGAAATGGTGAGTAGAAGTATGGAGCTAGGGGGTCTAGGAATTGGGAACATTCAGAAGAGGAATACAGCCTTGTTGGGAAAATGGTTATGGAGATTTCCGGTGGATCAAGACAAATTGTGGACAAAAGTGATTTAGAGCATACACAGGCTGATGGCAGATGGCTGGGACACAGGAATTTTGGCCAAAGCAACGGCAACAGCACCTTGGAAAGCCATCCATGCCATTCTTCCTTGTTTTCTACCTTTTGTCAAGTATAACTTGTGTTTTGGAAACATGGTAAGGTTCTGGGAACATGTGTGGGTGGGGGGACCACTTAAAGACCAATTCCCTTCCCTGTTCTCCCTATCTAGGTACAAAAACTTAACTGCCTCATCTTTAGTTTCATCTGTTGGTCCAGGACCTCAGCTTAATTGGGATTTGGGTTTTAGATGAGGTCTCAGAGATTCTGAGATGGAGTTGGTGTGGTCCCTGGTTCAGGTACTTCGAAAGGTCTTCTTAGAACCGTCAAAAGGTCTTCTTAGTAATTCAATTACAAGTTCATACTATATCTCTTAGGCCCCTTCAAAAACCAAAATCCCAATTTAAACCAAAAGAAAACATACTCCAAAAGGAAGCAATGGGTTTCTTTTGAAATCTGGAAAGATAATAAAGCAAGGGGAATTGGGTTTAAGAGAGATATCACCCAACAAAATATCAACCCAAAACAGGACTTTATTTCCACGATCTACATCAAACCTTGTGAGATTTAGAAAAATAGGGAGTAACTCATGAATGGCTTTCTAGGGAGAAGCAGCTGAAACAAGAGGAGATACCTTCACATCCCAACCATTGCCCAAGGCTCCATGAATGCCTACTATGACAGTATGACTTTGTGCCACAAACCTTCCTTCTCTTGAGGCAGATGCCACAGCCATTTCCCAAGCAAAGCAGTATTTCTAAGGACCAAATTTCCCCCGGTTCCAAAGGAAATCCCTCATGTATTTCTCTAGCTTTCTTGCTACTTTTACTGGGATACAAAAGATGGACAAGAAATAAATTGGGAGATTAGACAATGTAGATTTGATCAAAGTGATTCTTCCTCCCACAGAGATATAATTTCTCGTCCAGACTGCAAGATTTTCTGCAAATTTCTCCAAAACATGCTTCCAAAAGGATTCAGATTTTGGGTTCCCACCTATGGGTAGACCTAGGTAAACCAAAGGCTAAGTTTTGACACCCCAAACTTTCTGCAAGTACTTCTAATTCCTCCTCTTGCAAGTTGATCCCAGCCTCAAAGGCCGTAAATTGTAATCATGGGCCTTTTTTAAGAGAAAAATAACTTATATTCATAAAAAGGGGGGAGGGATGTACAATGAGAGATGTACAAGCAGGCCAAAAAAGCACAGAAAGAAGAGCCTGTATCAAACTAAGAAGGCAAAGAGTTAGCACTATACAAAAAATCCCTTCCCAAGCCTTGCTTTGCTAAAACATCTGCTGATCTATTGATCTCCCGGGGAATCCATCTAAAGGTGCAGTTCAGCAGAGAAGACAGCTCATGAATTTCAGCAATGGTAACTCTTGAGTCTCCTTCTACTGCTAATGGACTCAAATGGAGCCTCTTATCAACCCTTAAGCCTTCTAGAAGGGAGAGGACTTCTGCTTCAGAGGCATCTGCAGCTTGAACGGGCCACTAAAGGCCCACAAGATGTCTCCGGTAGAATTCTTAACAGTACCCCCTATTCCAGCTGCTGATGGAGGAAGCCGCGACCTTCTAAAACTGCCATCAAACTGCAACAGGTAATCACCCTCCCTACTTGGGGGAGGAAGAGTTGGTACAGTTGGAGACTGGAGAGGAAGGGGAAGTATACAAGATCTGCAGCCAGTTTCTTTGTAACTCCCCTCTGCTCACCTCATCAAAGAGCTTGTGGACCAGCATCCAAGAAAAGAGTTGGGATAAGATCTTCTCATGAATACTGTCCAAGAAGGAGAAGCTATCCTCAAATATTCTTCTGTTCCTTTCTTCCCAGATTCCCCACATCACAGCATGAATTACTGCTTTCCACTTTTCCCCATCTTTGGTTTGACCCACTGGGCAACAAAGTCCAACTCCCTCTTTTCCCCATCATGAGCCTTTAATAGCTTTAATAGTGAAAAACTAAAGATAAAGGAATATCTTGCCCACTGCTTGACCGAAGTCCACAAAGGACCACCCTCTCTCATTAGAAATATCATGGCCTATCAAATGCTCCATATGAGCAGGGCCAACTGCCCAAGTGCCCCATCCACCACCACAAGCTGAGAATAGGAGACCTCGACACAACCAGAATCCAAATGCCCATAGGCTCACAGAGATGATATTCAAAATTTAAACCTCCACCTGATAAGTTTCCAACCACCTGCTGATCCAAATGGTGACTACCCACCGGAAAACCTCTAATGCTGAGGTTATCAACTTTTCAGTATGACATGCATTCTAGTTTTCTTACTAATTCCTTGTTCACCCTTCTTCTTCAAGCACTTTTTGTTGTTATGGAAACAACCCAATTCCAGCCTCTAATGATGTCATCGACTGAGTAATCTTGGAACAAACTTAAGGTTTTCACCCAATGAGCAATTTTCACTATTATTTTTCCAATCAAGGCCTCTTTGGTGTGTGACCTTTCTTTTAAGACTGTAGAATTCCTTTCCTCCCATGTCCCATAGTGACCACAATACTGCTGCCCTTGTGTATTTCCACATTATTTTACCTCTTTTTGTAGCTGATGAGAAAAAAGGATTCTAAGAACAAGCTTCTCATACCAGTTGAAGGAGTCCACTTGCAGACAAAGAGGGGCAGAAGAAGAATTCCCAGATGCTAGAAGCAAACTGACAGAAAATTAGTAAATGAAATGTGGTTTCACAGCATGCCTAGCATAACAAACACATATTAGGTGTGAAACTATTTAGCAATGTAAACCAAATAACTTCCGTAGCACAAAAATCAGGAATTAGGTATAGCACCTAAAGTTAAAATGAAGAACATACTGTCCATCAAAAAAAAAAAATAGTATCCATCAAAAGATTAAATTTCCTAGCAAGAAAAGAATTCTGTAACCACATTTTCAAACTTCATGCCAAAACCTATATTGTATAATAATTGGTTTCAGGGATAAAACAAGGAGAGAAAGCGAGTCGGGTTTCAGGGGCAGGTGCTCCGAACCAGGTGGGATTCAGAGGGTCTTTAGCAACTCGCCAGTTAATCCCGACAAGTCTTCTCTAATTCTGGCCAAGACAGACTTGAACCAGATGGAGGGTCTTTTAGTGAGTTTTGATTCATGTAACATTTTAAGTTGTCACGTGAGTCGCTTGTCAAAGAATGAGATGCGAGATAGCTACAGTGGTTTATCATCTTCTCCAATAAATCTGCAGCAGTTCAAAGGCCAAAAGAGTTCAAGTAATCTGATTTTACACAAGAACTCATCTATCACAGAGAGGATTGACAAAGAAGAAAAGAGGTGCATGGAGAAGGAAGAGGTACATGTGGTTTCTGTTGATAGTGGTTTTCAACAAGAAGAAGAGGGGGATAGCGGAGACTTTCAGAAAAGCTCTAATGGTAAGGAAGAAGATTTGGAAAATATAGAGGAAGAAGACTTGGAAGAGCAAAGAGTAGCGACGGAGGAGCATAGCGGAGAGGTGGTTAAGACTGTGTGGGAAAGAGATGAAGTTAGAATTGAGGAAGAGAAAGACATTGGTCAAGCAGATGAGAAGAGTGGGGTGGAAGGGACAAAGGAAACAATAGATAAGGAAGAATCTAGAAGGGGATAATGTTTCAGTAGAGGTGAAAGAAGTGGGGAAAAGGGGTTGGGAATGAGGGAGGGGGAAGTGAGGGCATAGGAAGAAAGAATAGGGGTGGGGTTAGTACCTACAAAAGAAAAAGATATAGAACTTTTCCTTTAGAAGAAAACGAGGGGAGGGAAAAAGTGGATTCAGGAGAGGGATCTGGGGAGGAAAGTGAGGATGATCTGATGATTGATGAGGTCCATAAGGTGGAGAAGAATTGCAACATTGAAAAAGTGGTAAATAAGGAAGTGGAAGTCAGCAGGATTTTGGGTCTGTTCTTAGGTGGGGAGGAGTTTGCAAAGGAAGCTTTCAGGTCTGTGGAGGAAAGAATGGAGAGAATGAAAATATAGATAATTCAGTGGCTGACTGTAATGCAAGTAATTTAATATCTCAAGAGATGAAAGAGCTGAAAGAAGGCTGTGAGAATAGATTCAAGGAAAAGGAAGAAGAATTGAAAGGGGATGATGGGTCAGATAGGGGTCAGAAATATGTTGGAGAATTGGAAGAAGCCGTTGGAAATTTAAACACAGCTAGAAGATGCAGAACTCAGAAAAATAGAAAGAGTCAACAGCAGATAACAGCATCAAAGGTTTTTGCAAGGATAAGAGGAGGCCCATTTGGCACTGGGCCTAGCAAGATAGTAAAGAAACAGAATAATGGAACCAGAAGATAACAAGAAGATTGCATTCAAAAATAAAACAAGAAGACTGATAGAATTGGAGTCCGTCAGGGGGCTTGGGATTTTTATTTGGGTTCTTTTGGGTGGCGGATGTGGGTGCTTGGGGCTTGAAAGGGAGTCGGTTTTGTTTGTTTTGATGATCGACATGGTTTAAAATGTCCCTAATTTCCCTAATATTTCCACGACATATTTCCATTTCCATGGGTAGTGACACAATTTTACTGGAGTCGACATTTCCTCAATGAACACTACCGGACCTACGTGGAGTACAAGAGATAGTATCCACGACATATTTCCATTTTCACTTCCATGGGTAGCAACATGAAATTTTACTAGAATTGACATATTCCCTAGTGAACATTACCAGTACTATGTAGAGTACAAGAGATAGTATTATAACATAAGTTGGTGACAATATTGTAGATATGTGAAGTAACAAGTTATTGTCCACCTAACTTACATGATTACAACTTTGAGCTAGCTCAATATTCATTTCAAACATGAAGTTAAATAATAGTTTTTGTTTATGTAATAGATTATTTGGTTGATCTATTACAACCATTTACATTTTCTATGAGTTTAAATTTTGCTTTAACTAATTCTATCATGAAGTTCTAAAGCTTAAGGTTTACAAGGCAACTTCAGAACATATTCTTTTGTCTACAACCTTAGTTTCTTAGTTTTGTTTAATAATTTGGAACAAGATAATAATTTTAAAAGGTGTGCTTATGCTTCTTTTGTCATTTCATAAAATATCATTCTATAGTTTGCATATTTTACAATGTTTCCACCATGTCTATAATTTTTATAATATTTCCATACGATATTTCTGACATTTCCAACATGTTTCTTATATTTGGATGACCGACATTGACATTTTAAACTTTGATGATCGGGATCTCATTGTTTGTTTTGTATCGCTTTTGTTTCCTTTTGTAAGGGGTTGGCCTGTTTGGGGTGTTTGGCTTGGCCAGGTTTTGTTTTTATTTTAGTTTGGATTTCATTGTGTGTTTCATTTCCCTTGGGTGATTGCATATCACCTTTCTTTGTACCTTCTTTTGTTTAATAAAATTTTTTACTTTATCTTCAAAAGGAATTGTATAATAATGGTAAATAAAAATAAAATGACAAATCTTTCAAAATCCTAACATTAACACTCAACACAATATGACAAGAGGGGGGATATTGACAAACCAAAGATGAGTTACTGTAGGGCCATTTATGCGTCGCTCAGGCCTGGAAAAGCGTTGCATATCAGCTGCCAGCTGCATTAGACAAAACAGAAGCTTGATTACATAACTATTGCAAGAAAAAAAGGTTCACATGCTACATTTCTACTAGATGGAGGGATGACGCGTCCAATCTATGCCATCCACCCAGTAAGAGACCCTTTGTAATGCTTCAGTCCACACCTACCATCTGCCCTACCTTTTATTAGTTTTCACAAGAAACATTGGCCATTGAAGTTCCAATCTTTTAATAAAATCTGCCCAAAAGAGAATTTTATTATGGGCCACATGGCAAGGGTTTGGGGGCTCAAATTTGCCCCATTAATAGGACAGATAGATCTGATTACTTGACAGAGGCAAAAAAAAAAAACAATTGGGCCAAGATCCGGTGCTAAAGCCAAGTATAGAGTTATGGCACTTGGAGCTCATTGGTTGCTTTGGTTAAAGATGCTGCTCAAGAAATTCAGAAGTCCTGTAGAAAGTCCAATGAACTTGTACTATGATAATAGGTAACTATCAGCATCTCTCGTAATACAGTGCAACATGATCAAATCCAGCACATTGAAGGTGACCAGCACTATATCCATGAGAAGGTTATCTCTAAAAGGAAATATATTTCCCATTTTGGAAGACATATATGATTGATTAGATATATTTCAATTTTCAATAAAGGCTGTTGGCAAACCACAATTGACATCTCTTCATAGCAACCTGGGCATGCTCCAACTTGAGGGGGAAGGGAATGGTATTAGTCCATGTTTGAGTTGTTTGGGTTTACTACTCTTACATCTTAAGCCTTAGCTAATGGTATTTGTGTATTATTTTTTCCTTTCTTTCTCATTAGTAATAAAAGATGAGAAATGAGGACTGTATTCGTCATTCCACTCTCCTTATTTTTCTCTAATTCTCTCCTCCCTTCTCTTTTCCTTCAAAAACCCTAACTGACTACTGTAAAACACACGAGTCCTTTTCGTATGAATTTTTTCTTCTAAAATTTGTTTGTTGTTCACAATGGACTGCTCATCAGTGGATTTTGATTGCTTTAATTGTTTGTGGTGGGTGAAGGGTTTTCTCTTTCTTCTCTCGAGTGACTTCTAGTCACCCTTTTCTTTTTGATAAACGATTTCTAGTCACCCTTCTTCTATATTCTTTATTCTTTTAATAAATTTTATTTTAACTTGTTCTTTGACCAACTTATAGGATAGTCTACCAAAAATAAGCATCTATATGTAACTTTTTCCATTCCTTCATGTCTGGGGGATGAGGCCGCATATTCTTTTGTCGTCTTTCTCAAGTAAGATTCACATTATGTATTAAAAAGGCCAAGTAACTGGTATAAGAAAAGAGAAGAAAGCTGAGAAGAGATAGCAGTCATACCTTGAAAGAAATAAAACTGCCAAACTGGATAGTAAAAGACTATCCCAGTTGACCAGAACCCCTTAAATATCAAAACATTAGAAGAAATGAAAATTAAAATCTGTTATAGTCGGCTATAGAAGGGTAGTCTAGTCTTTCTACTTTATGTTATGTGCTGGATGTAATTACTATTATGTTCTAAGTTAAGTGATGTGCCCCACACTTAAGTGGGGGCACAATACTCATCGTGCTTCTTATTTAGAAAACTATAAATAAATCAAGCCAACTAGAGAGAAGTGAGTTCTCTAGTTCGAACCAGTCTTTCTTCTACCTCTTCTTCTCTTCTCTCTTCTCTTCTCTTCTTCTCTTTCTCTCTTCTCTTCTTTAATTCTGAAACTGAAGCATACACAGATCTGAACTTTATCATGGTATCAGAGCCATTATAGATCAGTTCAGATCTGCCCAGATTTCTGCACCTCCCAATCTAGTATTTTGTAGGTTTCTCTTCAGTCACTTGGAGTTTGACAAAAGGGATAAAAAGGAGTGGTCGTTTTTTGCTTCTGGAGGTTTTAATGCCTCCAATTGGTTTTGTTGTGGTGGTTTCAGGTGGTTGGTAGAAAATCCTCTAATTGATGGATCGAAGAGGGCTGTTTACAGTGGTTTAGTGATCTGACAGGTTTGAGTCTAACTTGTGCAGTTCAGATAGGTGGGTTGCATGAGATTATAATGGGAAGCAATTCCCGATGTATTGCAGACCTAGTATCACGTGTGTGAAGTGTATGGGAAGCAATTTCTGATTTTTTGTGGTGTCAAAAGTGGAGAAGAGTGGTGATTACTATTGCTGAAACCTGTACAGTAAATGGTTCAGTAATAGTCAGCCGTAGGAGTGTAGTGTGGTGATCATTAATAAGGTAGGGTGAGAAGAAAAAAAAGGAAAATTTTTTATGGCAGCTATGGGAGACAGTAGTGAGCACTAGACTTGTTCATGGGCCAGGCTTCAGGCCTGACTTACACTGTGTCGGGCTCGGGCTGCGGGCCAGGCCCCTTCAAATTATGGCAAAAGCCAAGCCCAAGCCTGGCCCATGAACAGGTCTAGTGAGCACAAGTCTGCTATGATTCTCCCTAATTATTTGAATGTGCAGATGACCTCTATTAAACTGAATGGAGAGAATTACATGCCTTGGGCTAAATCTGTTGAAGTTTTTCTTAGAGCTAAGAAGAAGGTGAAGCATGTGAGAGAAGATAAACCCTCGGTTGATTCTCCAGAGTATAGTGATTGGGAACAAGAAGATGCACAGATTATGACCAAGTTATGGAATAGCATGGAACGGTGGAACCTAAGATTAGTTTGAATTTCATGTTCTTAGGCACAGCCAAGGAGATTTGGGATCATGCAAAAAAGCTTTACTCAAGATTGGACAATACTACTAGAGTATACTAGCTCTATCAAGAGTATTTTAATTTGCAACTGTAGAGAACACTGATGTGGGCCCCACTGCAGTGGTCCCCACTGTGTTCGTAGGACAGCAGTGTAGTTATTTGTTTCAGTTATAGCAGTGTCAGTTTGTTAATTCAGTTGTTATTTATTTCAGCTTTTATTTACTTTATTTA